GCAAAGGTGTACCTCCAGGCATGGCATTTTGACATGCGCCCTGGAGGCTGAACTCAGCTTCTTGTGACTGTGAGATACGCACTCTATAGGCTGAGCTGTCTCCCCAGGCCCCCTCCACCCTATTTTTTTTTTTTATTACTATTTTGAGACAGTGCTTTGTTATATGACTCTGATTTGCCTGAAACTAACTATGCCGCATAGGCCAGCACCGAAGTGGCAATGTTCCTCCTTTTCCCTTTTAGGAGCTGGGATTAGAGGCACGTGCCTTCCCTTCATCTGTGGCTCCATTTGTGGAACAGAAGCCCTCATATCAGGGCAGCTTCGACACAGTGGGAAGTGCTAGTCCTAGCCTGCATGCACACTTAACTGTCCGTTAGAACCGTGAAGGGTCCTCAGGAAAAGCCGGAAGCCAGTCTCACCCTGCACCGATGATGTCAGTGTCTGTGCAGGAGACAGCCCGGAACTCCACTTCCCTGTCTGTAACTCTGGGAACTCCAGGGTGAAGGCAGATGCTTGACTTTGCCTCCAAAGGAATTCCAGAATGAGCCAGTATGAAGTAGAGTTGGGAGTTCCTCCAAAGGAGATTTATTTGGACAGGTTTGCTGGTTTTTGTTTTTGTTTTTAATTTTTTTAAAGACAGTGTTTTTCTATATAACAGCTCTGGCTGTCCTAACTCTGTAGGCCAGGCTGGCTTTGAAATCAGAGATCCGCCTGCCTCTGCCTTCCGAGTGCTGGGATTGATTGCCTCTGTTGTCATCACCACCCTTTTGTTTTGTTTTGTTTTTGGAGACAGAGCCTCACTTGTAGCTCTGGCTGGTCTGGAACTCTCCATGTAGACCGGGTTGCTTTGGGACTCACTGAAGTCTACCTCCCTCCTGTGTGCTAGGATTAAATGTGTGCTTCATCACGCTCAGCCCCTGAGTTGATGATTTTTGTTAAGTTGTTATTAAGACAGGGTCTTCGTGTAGCCCATCCAGGTTGGCTGAGCACGGACTGTGCTTGGGCTACAGGTGTGCACGGACATCCCTGATTGAATCTGAAAGTCTGTAAAAGCTCCCAGCCATAGTGGTTTTGTTGATTCTTAGGTTGAGAGCCCCCTACCCCTGGGACCTAGATACAGAAATTGGTAACCAGGTAAGGGGAGGGAGGAGAGCAGAAGATGAGTCAGGCCAGGAGGGGCCTCCCTTTGAAATGTCACCTCCAAAAAGGGTCGCTCAGTGGAGAGAACTCACCAAAGGCTCCCACATTATTTTCTTTTTCTTTTCTTTTCTTTTTAATATTTATTGTGTACAGCATTTCTTCCATGTGTGCCCGCAAGCCAGAAGGGGTGCCAGTTCTCATTACAGATGGTTGTGAGCCACCATGTAGTTGCCGGGAATTGAACTCAGGACCTCTGGAAGAGCAGGCAGTGCTCTTAACCTCTGAGCCATCTCTCCAGCCCCTCCCACATTATTTTCAACTCATGCTTTGCATAGTGCTTGGATACATTTACATGTTGACTGTGAAGAGGCCATAACTCCAAGCGTGGAAGATAAAGTAAGTTTGATCTTGTCACCTATTGCGGTTGTAGTCAGAGCAGTACTCAGGCTGAACACAGCTCAAATACAGGACAGATTTGGGAGGAGCCAGGGATGGGGGAGGAAGAAAGGGAGACTTGCAGGAACCTCTGTCCTCCGTGGAACCAAGACTGCTGTGTCCTGAGGCCCCTGGAGATCGCAGAGTCCACAATAGAACCTGAAACTCAGATCCCTCTGCATTTTTTATTTCAAACATGTCCTGCCCGTTCCTCCTCCCCCTCCCTGTCCCCATTGTATTCCAGCCTTGAGCCTTCCTGGTCCAGTTTCACAGGCCATTCTAGTGGACAGCCCTCTCTGGACCTGCTGTAGCTTTGGGGACACCTCTCTACCCACAAGGCTTAGTGTCCTGTAGCCTGGGGCCTTTCCATGCTGCAGCGACCTAGACCTGGTAAGGGCCACCGTGGGGCTGAGTGCAGTGTCTTCAGGACCTAGACCAGGATGCAGCCAGAGGTCCCTTCCGTACTTGCTGTACGCATCCTGATGTTTGCTTTTCCTTCAGCCTCTGTCAGTCAGGACATTAGGATAAATAGAATTTCAAATCATTTGGCTTTATGTTTTCTACTACGTTTTACTGCTGTTCTGAACTTTTGGAATGCTTTTGTTAGTTTGTCCTCAGCAGTTATAAAAGGAATGAGAAAAGAGTGTGGCGTCCTTTCTGACAAATGTTTAGGATAAGGGAAACCCGTGGAGGCAGAAAGTAATAGCCCCATTGCCTCTACAGTTCAGAGCCATCCCTAATCAGATTTCATGGAACTTCCTTCTAGGTGTTTCTCATTGGATATTTTACTAAGTTAAGATACAATGCATTTATAATGTTTTTTATCTTCTATTTAAAAACACCAGCCCAGGGGGCCAGAGAGACGGCTCAGGGGGTAAAGGGCTTGCTGAGTTTGATCTCCAGAACTGTCGATTGCGTTGGGTGGGTTACTCAGTCTAGGGGTTTGTAACCCACCCTGCAATCAGTTATTCCAGGGTCTCGGAGGGGCTCTACCTGGAAGGGAATGAGCTATGACAGAAGAAGGAGGCCAAGCAGATTTGTCAAAGCCTCCGTTTATTAGGGACGGATTACAGTTTATATATGGTAAGGAATGGGGGGCAGGGCAACTGGATCTCGCTGCGTGTCAATAGAACATAATTATGGGTGTGGGGTTCTCTGCAGACTCCCCAGGGTGATGGTTCGGGGAAATGGCTCGTGACACAGAACTACATAAAGGTAGAAGGAACGCCTGTGCCCTCCCACACTCACACACACAGAGATAATAAATAAATAATAACTTATAATGAAGATGTTTCTTCATTTAACATTAGATATATTGATAAATATTTTTCAGCTTTATTGACGCAAAATTGATGATACTGTAGATTGAAAGTGTACACCATAATGTTCTGATGTAGATAGGCATTATGCAATTACTCCTTAAATAATCGGCACATCCATTACCTCTCATAGCTAACGCATATTTGATGAGAATAATTAAAAAAATCCACTCTCTTAATAAGTTGGAAGTATATGATATATTGCTAGTATAGCCTTCAGGATTTATCCATCTTTTAGTCACAAGTTTGGACCCTGGACCAACAGCTTCGGACTTTCCTTGCCTTTCTTTGCCTCCTTCCCCCACAGTTGTGTTGAAAAGCACCTTAAATCATAGAGCTACCTTAAATCACAGAGCTACCTTAAATCACAGAGCTACCTTAAATCACAGTGCTACCTTAATTCTGAGATAAGAGGTGAACCTTGTTTGTGTGTGGTGGGGCATGGAGGTCAGGGCCTTCTTGGGTGCTCTCTGCTTTATTTTTTGAGAGGTGGTCTCTTACTGAACTTGAAGCTCACAGATTTGACTAGATTAGCTGGCTAGCAAGTTCTAGGGATGCTTCTGTCTTTGCCACTCTAGTGCTAGAATTATGGGGAGGCATCATTGCAGAGTCTTGCAGCTTTAAATATTTTGGAATTGTTTCTGTTTTGAGGTGTGTGTGTGTGTGTGTGTGTGTGTGTGTGTGTGTGTGTGTCCTAGGCTGGATTAAACTCAAGACCTCCCTGTCTTGGTTGCCATTTGCTTCCTCTTCTCTCCGCTTCTCCCCCACCCCTCTTTCAATCTCTAAGCCTAACTGGCCTCTTATGTAGCCATATGTGATCAGTTCCAGATGATATCACCTCCTAGGTGGTAGGATTGCAGGGGTAAACTACCATGTCTTGTTCATGCATTGTTGGGAACCAGTCTAAGTAAACACTGAACTGCATCTGTAACCCGGATTCAGTCTCTTGAATACTGGGGTTCTGGGCATGACCGCTGTGCTGAGCCCTGGAATCCTGGAATCCACTGAAGGCCTCAAGTGGGCTTCTCAGTCATGTCTTAGCTGTGTATATGTTTGTAATGCTCTGCACACTGCCTGATGGACTCAGGGTAGACCATAACAGGGCCATGTTCTCCTAATATTAGGGTCTGTGTTTTGATCCTTTGTTCTAGAACAAGGGCTTGCCAAGGAAAAACAAAACAACAGCAAAATCCTCAGAGTATGATAGTTGTACCTAATGGTACTGCCATCAGGAATTTTTCAGGACTGGCTTCTACTGGCTTGCTTTTTCTTCACACAGGGCCTTATTTTCCTGTTTCTTTGTACGGTTTCTTATTCTTAATATTAAAAACCGAGTATGTGAATCTAAACATACAGTAAGTATGTGACTCAGATTCCCCAGGGTTTGCCCTGAGTTTGAGGTCAGCCTGGGCACCACAGTGATGAGCCAAGGCTGTTTAACAAGACCCACCTCAAAAAGCCAAAAAATTAGGTGGGGGCGTTGGCACACACCTTTAATCCCTGCGCTCACTTCTGAGGCAGAGGCAGGTGAATCTTTGTGAGTTCAAAGCCAGCCTGAGCTATGTAGTGAGTTTTAGGATAGCCAGAGCTACATAGTGGGACTTTGTCTTGAAAACAAACAAAAAAGCCAAAATAGGGAAGGAGAAATGGCGCATACAGCTCCTGCAGAGGCCTGAATTCAGTTCCTAGCATCAACTCTGGTGGCTCACAGCCTCTTTCAGCTTCAGGGGACCCCAAAGACCTCTTTTGGCCGCCTCAGGCACCAGTATTACTTATATGCATACATGTTACCCCCTTCTACCACCATATACACATAATTTTAAATTTTAAATATTTTTAAAAAACCAAAATGAATAAATGGATAAGTGAAGAGTTCATTCACAAATCTATTTATTTTTTAAAATTTAGCTTTATTTTATGTGCATTGATGTTAGATCCCCTGGAGCTGGACTTACAGGCAGCTGTGTGCTGCTATGTAGGTGCTGGGAATTGAACCCGGGATCTCTGGAAGAGCAGCCAGTGCTCTTAGCCACTGAGCCTTCTCTCCAGCACCCATATAAAGTGCAGAATTCCATTTTGAACTAAGCCTAGAAACTTCTCTTTCAGGAAGGCATCCACCGTGGCCAATATCTGCAGGCCTGGGTATAGCTCCTTGTCCAGTCACAAGTATATCCCTCGAAGGGCAGTGCTGTATGTGCCTGGGAATGACGAGAAGAAAATTAAGAAGATTCCATCCCTGAAAGTAGATTGTGCGGTGCTGGACTGCGAGGATGGAGTGGCCGAAAACAAGAAGGTACTGGCCTGGTTTTCCGATGGAGGGAGGGATGATGGGCTAGAATTCGGGGCTCTTGAACTAGCATCATTCGCTATTGACAAAGTGTCAACCTCAGCCTTCCCTGATGGTTCTGGCTCTCTCTTACATGTCTTATCTGAAAGGAGGGGCACATTCGTCAAAATATATCTTGAAACCTTGACATTTAGTATCTGTGACTGGTGTGCGTATAAATAGAGAGGTAATCTATTTTGCTCTGTGATATTGGTTGACCTATGTAAATTAGATGTTTCTAGAATCATGGTAAAAGATTCTCAAACCAACTGAATATGATGAAGAAATTTATTTCTTACTTTTTAAAAAATTATTTTATTTATTAATTTATTTAGAGATAGAATCTCTCTGTACAGTCCTGACTGTTCTGGAACTTGCTCTGTAAACCAGACTGCTCCCAAACTCAGAAATCTACTTGCCTTTGCCTCCTGAGGATCAAAGGTGTAACACCGCTTGGCTTAGGAGTTTTCTTTCTTTCTTTCTTTCTTTCTTTCTTTCTTTCTTTCTTTTCTTTTCTTTTCTTTTCTTTTCTTTTCTTTTCTTTCTTTCTCTCTTTTTTCCTTCCTTCCTTCCTTTTCTTTTTTTTTTTTTTAAAAAGATTTATTTATTATGTATACAGTGTTCTGCTTGCCTGAATGTATCCCTGCCTGCCAGAAGAAGGCACCAGATCTCATTATAGATGGCTGTGAGTCACCATGTGGTTGGTGGGAATTGAACTCAGGACCTCTGAAAGAGCACCCAGTGCTCTTAACCTCTAAGCCATCTCTCCAGCCCTTTATATTGAATTTTGGTCTTAGGTTGTCTGAGACAGATGGCCAAGAACACATAAGGAGGTTTTCCACTGACAAGTGATTATTTCTCCTAATTACTTAAGGAGATGCTCACAGAATTCAGAGCTGCTTGTGGCTTCTGGCCTGACTAGTCTATAACAGGTAGATGGGGGTGTTTCTGATCTTCCCTCATTAAAAAAAAAACAAACTGGTTTTAATTTTAATACTTATAAGACAGGCTTTAACTATTTCCCAAGCTGACTTCAAACTTGCAATCCTTCTGCCTCAGCCCCGCAAGCCCTGGGATTACAAGAATTGCAACACCAGACCAGGCAGAGAGGTTTCTTACTTGGTAGTTGAACAGTAGATACTTTTGGTTTGTTTATTTTTATTTTTTTTAAATATGTGTTTTGCCTGCATGTTTGTCTGCACCATGTGCATGCAGTATCCACAGAGACCAGAAGAGGGCATGAGATCTTTCGGAATTTATTAGCCACTGTGTGGGTGCTGAGAACTTAACCCAGGACCTCTGGAAGTGAAGTCAGTGCTCTGAACTGCTGAGCCACCTCTCCAGCTGAACTTTCTATTTATTTATTTTGAGACAGGGTTTTTCTATGTTGCCCTGGCTGTCCTGGAACCCACTCTGTAGACCAGGCTGGCCTCAGAAATCTACCTGCCTCTGCTTCCCAAATCCTGGGATTAAAGGCCTGTGCCACCACAGCCAGTTTATTTTCAAGATTTTAAGTAATGAACATGCATTTGTTTGATAATTAGGTAGAATATGTAAATCTGTATAATAATAATAATTTATGTATGCATGCAAATGCTTTGGTTAAAAACATGCTTTCCCCACCCTTTGTTTACCCACTGAGTCCCTAGGCCATCTGGACTCCTGCTGTCTGGGTAGCTTCTTACTCCCCATGATCTGAAGGAGCCTGTCTGAACTGTTCTGCTTTCCAGAATAATTACTTTCCTTGGAGAGTCTACAAACAAATATTTGCCTTAATTAAAAAAAAGAGTTAATTTCCCATATCTTCTTAATGATGAATCCAAACTTCCCAAGTCTTTAGAAAAAGATTAGGATAAACATGTAGAATCTAAAGCGTCTACTCAATGTCTTTGGTGTATAATTAATACAATTAATCTTTCTCCTAGAGATTCAAGTAAATAGTCTAGACTCTTTTTTTTTTTTTTAAAGACTATAATGTGATTCCAGTATACTCCTCCCAAAACTCGCGTAGTGTGCGCTCAGATTAGATACCAGGTTGTAATTCCAGTCCTGTGTAACCTCAGGCAATTCTCTGTACTTCTTTGCCTCAATTTCTTATCTAACCCACGGAGATGACAATATCTCCTTTTGTCAGGGCTGGGGATTATTATGGGAGAAAAGCAGATAAAGTACCTGCAAGTAGCTTGATTTCCTACAGGAAATGGGTCAGATAAGGCCTGTAGCAATTGCGATAGGGGAGGGATGTTTCAGCAGAGCAGCCCAGTAGCCCCTGGAAGCCTGGATAAAGTTCCAATTATATTTCTTCTCCAGTCTTGAGGCTGTCCTCTGAGACCTGCCTGAGGATCTTTTCTGTTCCTCTCAGGAAAGAATGTCTCCTTCCTGCCTTACATCTGCTTGTGTATCTGTGCGCTCAGCCATTGTTTGCCTAGATAGCAACAGCTGAGCTACCAGTTACAACTTGAGCAAGCTACAGTTGCCATCTTGACTCCCATGTTCATTCAGGGTGCGTTTATATTTTTTTGTATAAACGTGTGCATGCGTGTGTGTGTGTGTGTGTGTGTGTGATGTGATGTGATGTGATGTGTGGGTATATTTGCTATTTGAGACAAGATCTCACTATGTAGCCCTGGGTGTCCTGGAAGTTATACTGGCCAGGCTGGCCTCAAACTCACAGACCCATGCTGGGGTTGAAGGCTTGTGCTTTTATGCCCAGCTTCATGCATACTTGCTTGTGCACATGTGTGTTGATACCAGACATCAAACCTTGAGTGTCCTTCCTTAGGTACGCTCCTCTTGTTTTTCTGAGACAGTTTCTTTGCTAGCAAACAAAGAGAGGCTGGATGGTAAGGGAGTCACAGGGATCTGCCTATCTCTGTCTCCTTGTAGGACTCAACAAAGGCCTGAGTCTCTGTAGTTTACCCTGAGGCAATACCTGGTTCCAAGAAAGATCACAAACTGAGACTACCTAGGCACCACCCAGGAACAGGTCATCCAAAGGAAATTCCGCACGTTCCAATCATTGTAGACAGGATCACCTGCAAGCACACACCCATCGCTTTTCACCAGGACACCCTTAGACAAATGTCAGCCAGTTGGTATCCTGAACCTTAGAAATCCCTCACCCCTACCTTTGCTAATATAAAAACCCAACCCCAACTGAGCTCGAGGGTTCTCTGATCTTGCCGTGTTAGACACACAGAGGGTCCGAGTTCTCGAATTTGTGTAAGAATCTTTGCTTTTACATACAGGACTTGGTCTCCTAGTTGGTTTGGTTTTGGGGGGGGCTCCGTGATCTGGGTGTAACATCCTCAGTGCCGGGATTACAAACCTGTCACCACACTCTGCTTTTCACAAAAGTGCTGGTGAAAGGGTTTGCAACCAAAGAGTATCTTTGAGATGTGGGCCAAGAGATACTGAAAAAAAAAAATCACATCCCACAACAGACCTCATCCAAGAGATTTATTGGGGAGTGGGAGGGGTGCAAAATGGCTTCCTCTGAGCAGGATAGAGACGGCTAAAGACCAGGTCGTCATGGCAGGCTGTATTGGGGTATGGAGCGTGCACAGAGGGGAACACAGCTAAGGAGAAGGTGGAAAGTGTGGTATTGGCCTTTAATGATGGTGGGGCTGTTGTGGCTGAGTCACTGAAGGCAGGGTGAAGGTGGATATGGGTGTGGGGGGGGAGGAGCACTGACTCTGGAATGTGGGTGGTTCTTAGTCGGCTGACAGCTGGGGTTTACAACCAGGTCCTTATGCTTGTAGGTGACTGAGAAAACACCTGGTGGTGTCTTTATTTGGACACTCCCTTCTCTCAATACAGTTGAATAGTGCATTGATTGCTAGCTGTAGGGTTTCACATGTGGAGTTTAAGAGTAAACTAGAGCTCCCTTTAAAAAGCCACAGAAACCCAAGTCGGTGGTGGTGCAAACCTTTAATACCAGGAGGCAGAGGCAAGTGGATCTCTTGAGTTGGAGGCCAGCCTAGTCTACAGTGTGAGTTCCAGGATGACTTGGGCTACACACAGAGGAACGCTGTCTTGAAAAAAATCAGAAAACAAAAGAAAAAAAAACCATAGAAAGGCCTGGTAAGCCAGCACAGGTTTGGATATTGCTTGTTTTGTTGTTAAAATTCTTTCTAGATGTGATGGTTGACCGGACTAGAGCCAGTTTGGAAATGAGTTTCTGGGGCTGACTGTGGAGGGTCATGGTGAGTGTGGAAGCCTCACCCACCGTGGGTGTAACTGACCGGGATCCTGGACGCCATAAAAAGTAGAAAGTGAGTGGAGCATTCCTATATCGTCCATTGCTGCTGTGACTGCCGTGTCCGCCCATTTTAGCGCCCCGTTACCTTGTTCCCCACTGATGGCGTGTACCTCAACTTTCCTTCCGTATCTGTTGTCAACCTGCTTTGTCACAGACACAGCAAAAGCACAAAAGGAGTTTTAGCTCCGTCTCGTGCAGGGCACTTCACTGCTAGCGTCTCAGGGCTGCTTTGGATTCTGGTTCCATCATCTGACACTCAAATCATCTACGCGTTTGACAAGCGAGCCTTATGAAGATCTGACAAGTTTGCTGTGGAGCTGTTAAAGAGGTTAGAGCCAAGTGCTGCACAAGCCGTCCCCGGGAGCCTCTGTTTGAGTTTGTTTAACCAATATTTAAGCGGTGCTGATACCAGACACTGTCAATTACACGACAGCTCAGAGAGGCGCCGCACTCACATTCCTGTTACAGACAGGGAAACTGAGGCATCCTCTGGGCCGTGCTCATGATTTATCCCGGGGATATTGTTATCCAGACATCTGAATCCAAAAACCCAGTCTCTTCATGAAGCTGTTAGATTTTTGTCAAATCCGTTATCAGAAAGGTACATTCCCGATAGACCTCGCTAAACATACTCTTACTGTGTACTTCTCCGTCACCCCCAAACTGAAGGCAGGTGGATAAGACTTGGATTTTGTTTGTTTATCTA